GGGTCACTCACTCCGCCTGGGGTGGACCCTGGGGTCACTCACTCCGCCTGGGGTGGACCCTGGGGTCACTCACTCCGCCTGGGTTGGACTCTGGGGTCACTCACTCCGCCTGGGGTGGACTTGGGGTCACTTACACTGCTCCAGCCAGCGTCCAGGCTCCACCATCAGCCGGCCTTGGGTCTCCGCCAGCTCCTGGCACAGCTGATCCCGCCGCGCCCGCACCTCCCCCAGCCTCTGCAGCCTGTGCTCCGCCAGCCGCAATCGGGCACCCATGTTCGCCAGGCCCTGGAAACCGAGGAGTAATGGCCTTGTCCACCACGTCTGCGCACTGCCACCTGCCACTGTGGGGACAAGGCTCCCAAAGCCTGTCCTGCATGTGGGTCCCACGCAAGTATGCTGCCATGCCCTGCTCTCTGCACAGAATGGGAACTACACTGAGGACTGACTCCCCACCTCTTCCACATCCGGGCTGTTCACAGAGGACAGTCAGGGGCTCTGCCAAACCCCACACTCACCTCCCACCAGCAGATGCCAGCCCAACCAGGGGTCTTCCCGCATGGCTGCCCAGTGCCCGGCCCCTCAGATCCTGACCTCAGGGTCCTCCTGCACGGCTGTCCTGTGCCTGCCCACGCCCCACCAGCCCCTGACCTCGGGGTCCTCCTGCACCAGTGCCTGGCCACGCCCCACCAGCCCCTGACTACGGGGTCCTCCTGCACGGCTGCCCAGTGCCCGGCCCCTCAGATCCTGACCTCAGGGTCCTCCCGCACAGCTGCCCTGCGTCGTTGCAGTCGCTGCACGTCGTCGATCTCATACACCTTAATCTCAAAGGGCTCCTTGAGCACGCTGGCCAAAGGGGGAGGCAGGTCCACCCACTGCCCTGGGACACCGGGCTTGCGGCCCAGGACGGCAGTGTCCGGCAGAGGAGCTGGGATCAGCCGCCGTCGCTGCAGACCTGAAGAGGCAGCAACCCTGAGTGGGGGGGCCAGCCTGGCTCCAGCAGGCAAGTCCCAGCCGAGCACCGGTCCCAGAACACAGGATCAAGCCAATCCCCCAGCCCACTCAGACTGGGCCTCCTCAGCTGCCCTCCCCCTGACACCCCCAGTACAGCAGTACCACCACAGCACAGTGACCCAAACTGGACCCCTTGCCCACTCATGCTCCCTACCTGGCACAGCAACACCAGCCCCACAGTCACCCCATGTTCCCCCTGATCACTCGTTATCTACAGCCCATGTCCAGGGACACTGGCCCCCACCCCAGCACTCCAGCACCTGTCGCCCCAGAGGCCAGCCTTTCTCTCCACACGCCTGACATGGGGACCAGTTCCTCAACCCTGGGCCCCCAGGACTAAAGGTCAGGCATGGGCAGGTGTCACCTCATCTGCAGCTTCAAGCAGAGAATGATCAGACCCACAAAAGCCTGAAGACCCATCCATTACCAGCTCACCAAGGCCCTGCTCAGGGACCCCCAAGCCCTGTGAGGCAGCTGTGGGTTCAGAGGTGGGGTGGACAGTGCACATTCCACAGTGGAGGACTGCACTTGGCCATTCATCCACCATGGAAGGCCAAGCCATGTCTACGTGGCTGAGCCTGTCCAAAAAAGAACAAGTGTCCTGCACCCTGCATATGCTGTGAGCACCCACATCTATGTGGCTGAGCCTGTCCACAAAGGGGCAAGTGTCCTGCACCCTGTGTAAGCTGCACAGAACTGTGAGGACTGTGTCCATGTGGCCAGGCCTGTCCATAAAGGAACATGCACCCTGCACCCCGCGTAACTTGGAAAGCTGTGTGCACCGCGTCTACGTGGCCAGGCCTGTCCACCAGGCTCACAAGTCTATAAACCAGAACCTCACACGTGTAAGGGACCCGGTGCCCCACAGAAAGCACGGCCACATGCAGGGCCGGTGCTCACCCGCAGCCCTCTTCTTGGGGGACCTGAGGCTCCGGGAGCGGGCGCCCGGGGAGGCAGCCCCGCTCTCACTCATGGAGTCGGGGGCGGAGGAGGTGCTGGCCGTGGCCTCGCTGTCCCGGATCACGCTCTCGTAGCCGCTGCTGCCTCCACTGTGGTAGAAGAGGGCCGTGCGGCCCATGGCGGGCGGGAGCTCCCCACTCAGCACACTGCTGTTGTCACTGCCGTGCCCGCTGCTGTAGCGCTGGGGCCTCCGTGGCGCCGTCACCTTGCTGTAGGGCGAGGGCAGTGCAGGGCCCACTGGCACGTGCACCCCGCTGTCGTTGCCACTGTCCGAGTCCACTGTGGCCCACGAGGGGCCGCCGTGACCGGGGATGCCACCAGCTGCCAGCTCGTGGACACGGCTGTGGGCGGCACGCAAAGCCTGCTTGGTGCCCATGACTGTGCCCCGGCCTGCCTTGGCCCCAGAGCAGGGCACTGCCCGGGAGGCCGTCCTGGGGCCCACCACGGGGCCGCTGGGGGTCCTGGCCATTGGCACGGGGGTAAGTGACCTCACTGAGCTGCTCAGGGTCCTCCCCCCGCCAGACCCTAGGCTGCGGCCTTTGCCCCCAGGGACTGGGGGTTTAGGGGCCCCAAGTCCTTTGCTGGGGCTGCTTCTGCAGGCAGGCAAGGGCCCCGGCGTGGAACTAGCAGATGGCACCCCCAGCTTGGGCACAGCTCGGCCAGGCCGGCCAGGTGCCTCCCTGGCTCGGCCAAAGGGGGTCAGGGCCTCAGGCCGCTCGAGGGAGGCAGCTACGGCGGGTCGGTGCGTGGGCTCAGTCTTCCCAGCCCGCACCTTCAGGCTGGAGGTGGCCCTGGGGGCTGGGTGATCCCCTCGGCCACCTGGCCTGGCCTCCTCTTCCCCTCGGGTGACAGTGGCCACAGCAGCCCGAGAGAGGCCCACAGGTAGGGCAGGGGCTGGGCTGTTCTTGGGCTCCAGGCTGGACTTGCGCACAGGCGGGGCGGGGGGCACCATGCCTCCAGGCCGGAGGATGGGGCTGCTCTTGGGGGTCGGGTTCTTCTTGCTCTTCAAGCTGCCACAAGGGGCCAAGGCCTCGACCAGCATGTCTCCAAAGGACGTGGAGGGTGTGGTCACACCCAGAATGGTGGCACCCCTCCGCAGGGGCGGAATCCATGCCTCGGGCCTCCCAGTTGCCCTGACAGCCACCTCACAGCCATCCACCACTCTCTGGGTGCATGCTTGGGGTTCAGGGGAGCAGGGGGCTCCCACAGTCGAGGTAGAGGCCTCATCTGCTCGCAGCAGCCAGGGGTCCTCCAGCAAGTTCTGGGGTCGTGGGGGGCTCTGGCCCGGCTGTGGACCACCTTCTCGGCCAGCAGAGGTAGTTCTGGCTTTGCGCGGAAGACTCGAGTGGATGGTCTGTGTAGTGGGGGGTCTCCGGGGAGACTCTACCCGGGGCTCCCTGCTTGACCTCGAGGAGACTGCGGGGGGCAGCTCCCCTGGCTGAGGGCCCCAGGCAGGACCGTGTAACACGCTGTGCTCCGGGAGCTCAAAGCTGGCCGCTCCTGGGGAACCCTCCAGGGATAGGGGGCCCGGAGACCCAGGCCCCGCCAGCAGCTCTGGGTTGAGAGGGTGGGAGCTGGCTGGGAAGGGGGGCTGTGGCGTGGAGCCCCAGCTGCCGGCTGAGCAGACGCTGACCTCACTGAGCCAGGAACTGACCGAGGAGCCGCGGCCGCTGCCCGCCCACACGGCTTCGCCCAGGGGCGCTCCACTGTCGGTAGCCTGAGAGGTGTAGGCATCGAACTCATCGTTGATGCTACTAATGATGCTCACAGGCCTGGAGCCCGAGGCCAGGGCCTGCAGGGAGCAGTCGCTGCCGAAGCTGGCCAGGCTGGCGGGCCGGGGGCCGGCGAGGCCATCCAGCGGCAGGTCCTCCACCACTGTGAACACCAGCTCGTCCTCCCCGTTGAGCTCTAGCGGCTGCTGCAAGGTCACAGTGGCGGTCAGCAGGCCGCTGTCCAGGCAGCGGCCTCGAGCTAGCTGGAGAGGGCAGCCAGGAGGGGGCGTCTGCACCCCTGTGCCGGTGCCCTCTCCCCTGGCTTCTTCTGGCCATGGTGGAAGAGGGGACGGGCCAGGCATCCCAGGACCGGGACCACTGTCCTCTCTCAGATGACCCTTCGCTCCCAATGTAGAGGGCTCAGAGGTGTCCCCAGGAGGTTCTGGCCCAGGGCCACCTGGAGGCCTGGCGAGCGGGGCGCCTGCAACCTTTCTAGGAGACGCCAGCTCAGGGCCCGGAAGCTTCCTGCAGGCAGGACTGGGGCCCTCACTGCCCATGACCTCCAGGCGCTCCTGCAGCTCGGCAAAGGTGCTACAGCGGAAGTGGTCACAGTCGGCGTCCCGCGGCCCCACGGCCGTCCGGCGACGGTCCAGTGCGGGGATGATGGGCACGAAGTCAGGCGGCCCCTCATTGTCAGTGAGCTCTCGATCGGACAACGCTGTCCCACCAGGTCCCACATAGATGACCGTGTCACAGGACTGATCGCTGCTAGATGAGTAATCAGGGTCACTGGGCCTCCGGCGCTCGGGGTCCAGGGCTGAGGTGTGAGGTGTGCAGGGCCGCAGTGCAGGGGAGCGGCGGGAGCGGCCTTCCTCGCAGGAGCTCTCCCCACCTGATGAGCTGGACGCATACTACACACAGGAGGACCATGGTCAACATCCATGTCCCCCCACTAGGTCCACCCCCCATCTGGAGCTTCTGGAGAACAAAACACGGGGCAGGTGTCCCCGGGGAGCCAGAGGCTGTCAGAGGGCAGGTGCCAGACAATGGTCAATGACCTGACAGAACCCAGTGGGCACCCCACCCAGCAGGGACCCTAAGCACCCAGAGGGCATTCCATCAGTACTTAAGCCAGAACCCCCCAGGACCTGCCCTGAGTATGACCTGGTCACATGCAGCATGACCTGGCCACATGCAGCAGGCCCTGCCCACCTCAGCCTTCTCCCTGCACGGGCCCCGCCCACCTTGGCCCACATGCTATCTAGGCCCCGCCCACCATGACCTTTTTTAACCAGGCCCCGCCCACCCTGACCTTTTCTAACAGGCCCCGCCCACCCTGACCTTTTCTAACAGGCCCCGCCCACCCTGACCTTTTCTAACAGGCCCCGCCCACCCTGGCCTTTTCTAACAGGCCCCGCCCACCCTG